AAAACTGAATTGAATTGAATGATATTGATAAGTTGACTGTTAGTTTGCTTCTTACAGATTGGAAAGATGAGATATGTCAGCGTCAGGGACTTCAAAGGTAAAGTCCTGATTGACATCAGAGAGTACTGGATGAACCAAGATGGGGAGATGAAGCCAGGGAAAAAAGGTAATCACATCAGTGAGCCCTGCATATGCTTCAGATATGTTTAAATACATTTCAGTATATTTATCTGAATAACTCCACAAGGACCTGGAAAGATGTTTGTTTTTGGTGGTTTTGGTGTGAGACACAGTTAAACTTAAAACTGTCTGTTTTAAATGTTCTTGTAGGGATCTCCCTGAACCCTGAACAGTGGAACCAACTGAAGGACCAGATTTCAGAAATCGATGACGCCATTAAGAGAATATAAGCATTCGTTTAGTGTTATCTGCTGAGACAATTGAACATGTTGGCTAATCAGTTTTGTAAAAAGCCTGGGATTGTTTTCTAATTGACTTTAATTTGTAGTTGTATAGATCTAGTGTCGTCTGCATACTCTGGTTTTTCTGTGTGACACTTGTAGTAAAGGTCTGGGTGGATGAGAAGGAGGGTGATTATTACAGTCGGTGGGTGGGGTGTATCAATACAGTGATGTTTTTGTATTGAATAATAAAAACGAGGCACTAGCTTAATGTTGTTTAATGTGTAAGTTCATGTTTGACTATCATGTAAATATAAATGATAGACTTAGTTCCATCTGACCTTTGTAATATGTATCACCCAGTATTTTCATTTCAGTAAGCCGAGCCGAGTGTGTCGTGTTGTACCTGCAGGTTTTTAGTTTCATGGGTAGAACCATTGGTTAGGTTTTGAAAATAAATGATACTATTAAACCATCTGGCATATTAAATCATTGTATTAGATTTGCAACACCTAACAAGGTTTGTGCTATCTATAAACCAGCTTTTAGTCCTAAAGAATCAGTTGTGAACCAGTGAATATGAGGCTTGTGAGGGGCCAAAAGCCATTTAACTTTGACATAAACTTTTACAAAACTTCAAACTTCAACCTGCCATTGAGGTCAGAAACATCTATTTCAGGGGTCTTAAACTCAAATAGTCTTGGGGCCACTACTGGTATTGTCA